GCTGCGTGGTTGGTTAAACCACGACAATTAAATAAAGGGACTAATATTTTTATATAGATTATACTAAAACTATATACTGAAATGTGATTTTCAGTTGTTGATTATTAGATATCATAGTGAAAAATAACTCAGCTGAGTAACTAAATTTTTTTATTATCCAATCAAGTGAGCAATATTGCATGAATCTCAGGCTTCTATTTTAATGGGAAATAGTAATTACACATTTCAATGTAATAACTTACACTCGGTTCTTAATGTTGGTACTGCAGTACCATTTTAAAGCTGTTGATTAAAAGTCTAAAACTTGCTCTAAATATCTTCTGTGAAAGTATGCTATTTCTAATACCAATGTAATTGCTTCAGAAACTGATTCAGAGTTCACTGAATAGTTATTGCTATGATGCAGTAGTTAACAACTTAGAAGGTTTTCCTGTTCTGTCAGGTAAAAGACTGTCATTGTAGACCCTATAAGTGTATCTAAGAAATGAATATAATAAAACTGACTCTTGTTTTATTGTTATATCCATGTGTTGGTCTAACACAGTAATTAAATGGAATTGCTGTGTTGGTGCATCAGGCTAAGTCTCTTGTTTTCTATTTATTTATTTAGTTATTCCTAATGGTTATACCAAGTTCTCTTAAGTTTGGTGGGGGTTTTTTTACAGGTTACAGAAATCATATCTCTTGTGAGATATGATTTTAGGTATACAGTGTAGATAATTAACTGTTTTGGTATTTCTGAGGTCTATAAAATACCAATATTTTTGTCCTAGATGTTATATAAAGGTAGCGCACACTTAAGTAGCCCTATTAAGTACTTCTTAGATTTCAGATAAACCTCTGTAGTAAAATTCTGTCACTCTTTGAATAGATTTCTTTACAGGTGATCTCCTACGGTATTGAAAATATTTTAATAAGACTGCTTCGGGGAAGCTGCATTTACATTGAGAACTCTGAGGACACTTTACATGAATATATTCTCTTTGTTCTTAGGCTTTTAGAAATCACATATCCTTGGTCTGTTTTCTTTTTTTAGAATATTTTCCATTAGAATAGTTTCTTTTATAAATTGAATGATAATGGTTTCTATTATGTGGTTTTCATTATTAATTCAGTTTGGAGAGGAGAAGTGCTCCAATATCCATTTAGAGCTTTTTGACTAATCTGAGAAATGAATACAGTGTTTTCATGTACTATCCTTTGTCTTCTATTTGCATTTTAGTTTGGAAATTTCTCTAATTAAGAAAAACGAGGGACCCCGGTGGCCAGAGCTAATAGTTGGTGACACAAGAGGGGAATTCATTATGGACTCTTCCCAAAGGTCTGAAATAACTGAAAGCCTGATGCATCTTACCTCTGAAGTAATGGTAAGGACTTGAAAGTAAAACATTTAAAATTCATGTAGATTTGCGTATTGTCTTTTATTGATATCCTAATTTGCACTTCATTGACATAGCTCATCAGGTCATTTACTATTCAGAATCCTAACTCTACATTCATTTATAACTGAAACTGTTAACAAACTAATGGCACTAGAGTTATGAATATACTTTGAACAGTAATATCATCTTCATGGGGGACTGAATTTAGCTTACATGATAGCATCTGTGCACCAAAACAGAAGTCTGATTTAGCATTGAAAATAAATTTTGTTCCCATCACTTACAATGTGGCAGTTTGTTTTAAAGCAGTTGATTTAAGTAGTTTTGAAGGATGTCTGTTTCTTGTTTGTCAATAAGTTAGCAACACTTTAATACTGTCTTCTTAGGGATGCTGTACTTGATTTATAGACTGTGAGTGTAAGTAACATTTTTAAAAAGAAAATTTAGAAAAGCATAAGCATCACTCATGAACTTTCTGGCATTATTGTTTTATAGGAAGTCTACTTAAAACAAAATAAAATGTAGTTTTTAACTGCTGTTTGCTTGATAATTCCTCTTTTGGTTTAATTAGAAAATGGCATCTCATCTAAAACTTGTGAAGTGTGATTCCCTGTGGGTCTTGATATATTAGTTTTGGATTATTACTTTTTTAATAAGGCTGAAAAGTGTTACTAAAATAAATTCTGTTTAGTGCTTAAGTTGATTTTCCTCCTCTCTCCCCCACTAGTTGTGGGCAAGATATTGTAGTATATCTTTTGACCATAGATTTATTGGGAACTTCAAGTTTCTTTTCTTTTGTAAGTTATACTGAGCTTAAAGTGATGATTAGTTTGGGGTTTTTTTTGTCACAACTTTTCAGCTTGTGTGGAATAATGATCATGTTAAAAAAAAAAAAAATCTTCCTTAGGTAACTGTTCATTTAAGTAAATATTACGTATTTGGTTATACTGCAACTTCAGCGACATATGTATAATAAAGGTATGGATTCTTTTTGGTCATCTCAATTGCTTATGGTAATGATGTTTAACTGGAAGGTTTTTTAAAAAGCCACCCGATGAAACAGTAAACCAGAGGCCATCAGGAATGCTTGGTAGAGGAGAGGTGAACCCCAAAGTCTAGCCTCTAAAGAGACAGATACCCTGTTTTAAGTCTTGTGCATTAGCCTGCAGTATATGACACATAATTTTCCTGGTTCCTGTCATTTAAGGACGTTTCTTTGTTAACTCTTCATGTTTGTTTTCTTGGAACTTAAATTAGCAATTAAAAAAACTTTGTCGACTGAACCAAAATAAAAGTTCGTAATAATCAGCTGCAATGGATGAAGAAATGAGCACAGGAGCTCAACAACTCCTCCCTGTCAGATGAATTGAGTCAGTGCTCTGTCTAATCTTTCCTTACACATTCTGTGTGGCCTCAGCTTTCAGCTTATATTAGTTGTCAAGATGGTGTCTCTTCTGTGCAAGAAGCAACATTAATTCATACTTAATAAGGTGGTGTATGGTTTTGCCTTCTGTTAAATAAAGGTCCCTTTCTGTTATCACGAAATTAGTTCTTTAAATATATCACAAAGGTAACATAGCTTGGTAACATAGGTAACATAGTTTTGAAAATAATCCAAGGAATATGTCATTAGCAGAAGTAAGCCGTTTCTGTATGCAGTAGTGTTATATCTTGCTCTCGAGTTACTAGTAAAAGTGACGTTTTTTTCCTTTCTTTGACTTGCGGGATGTGAAAAAATACACGTGCTTTTTTCTTGTTTTGAGTGCATTGAAAAATATGCATAACAACATTATTAATTTTAAATAATTACTAGCAAAGCTAAAAGGAGGCATGTATTTAGAGCTACTTATAAAATGAATTAATCCATTTTTAATAGCATTTCCGATGGCAATCTGAAAGAAGCTTACGCTGCTGTAAATTTACTAAACTTGCATAGGTTTTCAGAATTGTATACTTTTGCTACTTACAGAAAGGAATTTATTGTCCATGTTTTAGTGGCTTATGTACCTTTCCTTAAACTGAAAGGGGTTTTGTTGTACCTACCACTCATGCTATCCTCCACAACAGAAATGGTTCTATTAATTTTGAATAAGTACATAATAGCTTGATCTTTAAGTATGTAAGGATATGCAAATGATTCTTCCTGTTCTGTTGAACTTTTTTTGTTATGAAAAGGGATTTATGTATATATATTCAGTAGCTTGGATTTTCAGTGTAGTTCATTGTCTTTTTATTTCAGAATCCAAACCCTGAAAAAGAAAACCCACCTTGTAATGCTCAAGAATTAGAAGAATGTGATGCTTTCCTTGAAGATAGCGCAAGCTTGTGCAGATTTGATGGTGATACTTTGGAAGTCACTCATGTGGTAAGTGCTGCAAATTATTATACAGAAATATTTGTAAACATTTTTTTAATATGCAAGTTGAATTCTATTATCAGAACAAAAATCTGTGCAAACTCTTGAAACCACATAAATTTCTTCCATAATGTAAAATCACAGTAGCAACAGAAATTATCAACCCATATGTGTTCTTCAATGTTCTTTAATATAAAAACAAGGCTCCTTTTATTCTAATATAAAAAATATATATACTTTCACAAGTGAGCCATTTGAAAAAGCAAAGTTATGTCAGAATAATGGTAAGAAAGGGGTCTTTTTTAGTGGCATAAAATTCTTCTAGATTCCTTAGCTTGCATTTTTCTCAGTAACTTTTCAGATAGCCTGGTAGAAAGTTGATCCTTTTTATTAAGGAGCTGGAGCATAGATCACTTTATGATACTTGTTTGTCAATCACATTAGAAATTACAGATTGTAAGCAAAATGCTTCAGTAGGAGGCTTGATCTGGGTTGTAAGCAACCTTGACTAACAGTAAGTTATAACTTGATCTGGCCCATTGGCTAAAGCGGGGAAAAAAAAATGATCGTATGAAAGCATCACAGATTAAGTTGTCATCTTGGAGTTTTTTGGGGTTTGGGTTTTTTTTCGAGATGTCTCTACTAAGCTTGTAATAAACATTGGTATTGCACCTCATCACTACCTTGTGTCATGCAACGTACATATAGGATAACCTGTTTTGTACAGAAAATGTCATAGTTACAGGGTAAGATTTTGAATCAGTTCGTAATTTCCCGGTTCCTCAGAAAAGCTCTAGAAGACTTAAGTCTATGTCTTACAGATCTTGGTTTGTTCTTTTTTTAAAAAAAGATATATCTTTTTTCCTTTGGCAGTATAGATACATATGTATATGTCTGTATGTGTGTGTATATATATATATGTATCTATACACCTGTACATGCATCTGTGCTGCCAAAGAAAAAAAGATTAATTTTAAAGGCTAGCATGACTCACCAAAAAAGTTTTGTGGATACAGTGTGATAGGTAACTTTTGTCAGAAGAGAAAATCTGTAATTGGTAGGAGGACATTTTATAGCAACTCGGTTCAAATGGATTTTAGCTGTTCAGTGATGTGTGGTAAGAGAACAAGAGACAGCAGGCATAAACAAGAGGTTCAAATTTGATGGAAGGAAAAACTTTTACACCATGATTGTACCATGGATCGGGTTGCCTAGTAAGGTTGCGCAGCCTCTGTCTTTGAGGTTTTCAAGACCAGACTGGATAAAGTTCTGAATAACTTAGCCTAAACTACTGCTTGTTGCCCTGAAGGATAAGACGTTTGTGCCCCAGAGACATTTCACAGACCAAAAGGAACATGGTATCATGGGATCAAGAAAGGCAGATCTGACGTATACTGCTTTATAGCAGGCAGCAAGACATTGTGGAGCAAGTTTGAACTCCAGGGTGTTTGTAAAGAGCTCTTAAAAATGGGTGGCATAAAAGTAATCCAAAGGCTAATGTGTTTAAAGCATTATGGTCAAAGGACAATTACTGTGGGTAGGAAATTTTCACGCATGTATAACCTGCTCTAGCTGACCCTGCTTTGAGCAGGGAGGATTGGACTTGAATATCTCCAGAAGTCCCTTCCAACCTCAACTATGTGATCTTGTGTTTTTCTTCCTTGTTGGAGGACATAGGAATGCGAGTATTTCAGTACATTTTTCACCATACAGGAATATATTTTCACTTTGATGTACTACTTCTTTCAAATTGTTTGGGTTGTTTTTTTTTTTTAGCAATACAGGGGCCTATTCCTTCAGAAGCGTGGCTGATACAGCTTTTGACCGTTGTAGTAAACCATCATCAGTAGTATGCAGTTGTGTATATGTCTTTTTGCTCTTAAGTTGGAGAGAACTTTGTGAAACGTGTGTCCAGAATCTTAGAGAATTTAAGACCATGAAATATTTATATAGGAACATTTCCCTCCTTGAGTTATAATTTAAGGATATAAAACATTGATGATGTAATGATACCTGTTCTGTAAAGAGATTTGATTCTATTTTTCTTGACATTTTCTGGTGCATTTCAATGGCAATGATCCAGCTGAAATAACAAGGTTTGACAGCCAGCAATCTCTGTCAAATATATTGCTATACTGGCCTGTTCTTGTGTGGCAAAATGATGTTTGTCTCCTCTAGCTCAAATGCAGTTATTCAGTTTCTCCTATAGAGAAATACTTGCTTTATTAATACCAATTCTGTAAGTTAGATTAACAGTGGCCTAAACTCCAGTATGTTGTGTTGCCAAGCCATCAGAAACTAGAGATGGGTGAGGGGCAACATTTTTTTGCTTGGAGGGGAGGGGCTTTGTCAGGTGAAGTATGGGCTACCTAAAAACACTACCTTGGTTTTGGAACTGCTTGCAGTAGCATTTACAACATAAAGTTTGCCTTCTGTGTTATGTAGATTAATATGTATACTACCATATGCTTGAGTTCCGTATTATGCATTCTGATAAAACCAGTTGCAGGCATGTATGACAAAATGCACAAAAATTAGTAGTTGAAAAAATGCTGAAAGATGCCTGAAATACAAAGTGGTGCTGTGTGCTTGCAGTGGGGAAACACAGGCATCCCAATACTTAGCAAAATTGGGATGGCTTAAGGGAAGAGACGCTGCTTGTTTTAAGGTGCAAAAGAAAAAAGTATTCCCAGTGGTTTGTGGAGCAAAGAGAAAATAGGAAATGGAGTACTTAAACCTAGGTCTTTGAATAGCTAATTGCAGTAGATAATTTCAGAGAGCAGTTGATTTGTGGCAGGAGACTTTTCTGGTTGATGTGTGAATGATGGAAACGCAACAGAAGAACTTCCGTTCATTTTTTACTAGCTGACATCAAGATCACTCTTCCCTTGCTTGTATGCCTATATAGAAGCATGAGTCTGCCTTTTCAATAGGTGCCAGAATAACCTCTCTAAACTAAAACTACATGTTATTCTGTGAAATACATCATGCTTACATCTGAGCTATAGGAGTGTGTGGGAGGCTTGTCATGTATTTGTGCATGTCCATTGGAGTGGAGATACTCTAGTGGTGATAGACAAGAGGACGAGAGAAGAGGCAAGGTCTTCCTCAAGAGTTTTTCTGGTTCTGGATGGTTTGTCTGAATAACTGCTTCAGGTTTGAATGGTTTTTTATTGCTGTTGAGTTTCTCATGTTCTGACAACGCTCACAAAACTTTTTTTTGCATTTGGGCTGTCTGTCAAATTGATCTGTATCTCTATTGCATATAAAATAGGCAACTAATCCAGCTTAAATAACATTTATTGGGTTTTTAAAAACACTGTAAATTACTTCTGGGGGAAAAAAGTAATCAAAGTTCAGAATTAGTTTGCTGAGGTGCTGTACATTTAAAATATTTCTCTACATATTCCACAAACTTACTGAAACCTGGGAAAAAACTTTAATTGCTTTAGTCTGTTCAAAACTGTTTGTGGTGTAAAAATTAATAATAGCTAAGTAACATGACACTTGTACTTATCATATATGTAATAACGTTATTGTTAGGACACATGTAGATTTAAATTGCATGTTGGGTGTTTTGGGTTTTTTTTTACTTAACTACAGATGTTTATTAAAACCAAAACCTTGATGTTTGTAAAACTATCACATTTCTGACATGGTACTTCTAAAAGAATATATTTTTTAAATTTTGATGTGTGCTTTACTAGATAAGGGATTTAAGGGCTTGACTCTTAAAAATATGTGTAGCTGCTGTTGAAAGACATCTACAAATTACTCAGTGCTGTGTGCTGTAAGGCTTCTTGTCATATGTAAATAATTTATATACTGTTGTATCTTTGGCTGAAAACAGTGATTGCCGGTGACTTCAAAGCTACTTTTGTGCTAAAGTTGGGATTTTACTGTGGTGTCGTAAACATTTGTGCAGTTTTTTGATTCTCTCTGAAACTACTTCCTCGGTTCAAATCATAAGAGTTGGTTCTTCAGAGTTCAACCCTCTCCCTTAGCTCAAGGACTGATGCATAATGAAGTGAGCTGTGGATGAGAAGAGTGCTCTGTCTGTTATCCCATCTCAAAGATGCTTAACTTCTGTCAGTTGAGATACAACAATAAAAAAGGGGAGACACCTGTACACGCTCTATACATTGTAGAGCTGTATTGGGTGTTCATACCCAGGTGTTGGCAGCTGTGGGGCTGCAGGGGTGGCCTCTGCAAGAAGAGGCTGGGGCTGCCCTGTGCCAGACGCAGCTGGTTCCAAACAGCTCCAATGAACCTACTGTACGACACAGCTGAACCTATCAGGGATTCTGGTGGCCCCTCAGGGAAAACATATTTAAGAAATGGTAAAAAATGCTGTGCAGCAGCAGTGAGAGGGAGGAGTGAGAAAAATGTGAGAGAAACAGCCCTGCAAACACCAAGGTAAGAGAAGAAAGGATGGGGAGGAAGTGCTCCAGGGGCCAGAGCAGAGATTCCCCTGCAGCCTGTGGAAAAGACCACAGTGAGGCAGGTTGTCCCCCTACAGCCCATGGAGGACCACGGTGGAGCAGATATCCATGCAGCATCCTGTGTAGGACCCCACACCAGAGCAGGTGGATGTGCCCTGGTGGAAGTTGCAGCCAGTAGAGAGCCCACACAGGAGCAGGCTCCTGGCAGGAGCTGTGGCCCGTGGAGGACTCATGCTGGAGCAGTCCATTCCTGAGGCACTGTACCCCTTGGAAAGGACCTAGGCTGGAGCAGTTCTTGAAGAACTGCAGCCTGTGGGAAGGACCCATGTTGGAGCAGTTCATGAAGGACTGTATTCTGTAGGAGGGATCCCATACTGGAGCAGGGAACAGCATGAGGAGGAAGGAGTAGCAGAGAGGAAGCATAATGAACTGACGCCAACCCCCATTCCCCATCTCCCTGCACCACTCTGGTAGCAGGGGAGGTAGAGCAGTCAGGAATGAAGGAGTGAAGTTGAGCCAGGGAAGGGTATGGGGGAGGTTTTTTTTTTTAATCTTTGTCTTTGTTTCTCATTTATTTTTAATTGGCGATAAATTAAATTTATTTTCCCCAAGTAAAGTCTGTTTTGCCCTTGATGGTAGAATTGGTAAGTGATCTCCCTGTCTTTATCTCGACCCACGAGCTTTTACATCTTATTCTCTCCATCTGTCCTGTTGAGGAGGGGGAGTGGAAGAGTGGCTGGGTGGGTGTCTGGCAGCCAGCCAAAGTCAAACCCACCACAGTAACTCAGTCCATATCCAGTTTAAAAGGCAGCAGCTGTTTGGCCTGTAAGCACAGCGAAAGCTCAGGATTAGTCATAGACTATGCTACCTCATACTCAACAAAGCAAGTAGGGATTATGGGAGGAAAGGGCTTAAAAACAAGAAGAGATGAAATCTACAAGGAGTTCTGGGGAAGAGAAGCTTAGGGAAATGTAATTCCAGGCTGTAGGAAGCCAAGCTTCATTTCCTTCTGGTGCTCCAGGAACAACTTGCTTTTCTTACCTGGGAGATGGGGGAATGAAGTAGAAGTAATAATGGTGACTTTTGGGGAGGCTAGCTGTCCAGCAGCAAAACAGAGGTCACATTGATGACACACAGCTGTGGAGGCTGGGCCTTGTAGCAGGTTCTTCTGGTCAAATCATACTGTAACTGACTGTCCATGACCCTGTGGAGTGTCATCACACCAGTGTCTGATGCACAATCCCCATGATTCACTTTTTTGCAGAGAAGCAGGTGCCACTGTGAGCATGCAGTAGGGGCTCATGAAATGAGTCTTGAGCTGAATGTATGAGAAGTATCAACTTGTTCCCTTTCTCAAGTTGTTTCTCATTCATTCTGCCTATTTTTCGTATGCTCCTTAAAGGTCTGTTCCACTCACTTCTGTTGGTGTCATCTGCCTGACCTTTGCTGACTTCTTACCTTTCTCAGATGTTAAGAAGTTTGAGGGACTAGGACTTCATACTTTCTGTTTTGCTCAGCACATTGCACCAATACAATACCTGCCTCCTGTTTTCTGCTTTGTTCTCCTTAAGGCACCTTATTAGTGGAGCTCTTGAAGTTATCTTTATTAGTGTTTCTTTGCCTCTTAGTTGCTTAGAAAATTAGTTACCCTCATTTCATGATTGCATCTGGCCCTAATGGAGACTGAGGATTATTTCACCTCTTTTGTAGTTTTAATACAACTGAACAATTTGTATGCCTGTTGAATGGGTGTAGTAATGGAAGGCTGTTTTAAAGTTGAGCCGTTAGACTTGAACTTAATCAGCTGAAATAATTGTATGAGTTCTGCCATAGGCTGTATAACCTCGAGTAAACAAATTTCTGGGTCTCAATAGTTGTTGTTTCTGTCCACTGGATCTTATGTTAAGATTAAATTAAGGTCTTCAGGACAGAGACCCCATCCTGTAACATTTGTACAATGACAGCATAAAAGGCTTGCAGTTCATAGTTATTGCCACAATACAAGTAATAAGAAGAGTGCTGTGACAACCATTTGAGAACTATTAGTCAACAAATGTCAGCATCTGAAATGCTCATTGAGGAGTAATATATTGTACCATGTATTGCAGTGTAATCCTGCATGTTACCATTGCAGACATAGCTTCTGGATATAAAAAATAGTTCAAATGTATTTGTTCATCTGGTAACACGAACAATGTAGATCAGTGCTGAGTACAAACTGGAATTCCTGAGTGTTCTTTCTTGATAGACCTCAAGGGAACAGATTGTTCTTTCTTCTTTGAGCATTTGCTAATCATAGTGCTACATTAAAAGTATAAGTTCCTTTAGAAGGCTTTACACAGAAAACTCAAAATATGTGTTGTTTTATTGTTTATTCTTACTGTTGTCTATTCAGGTAGCAGGATATGCCTATCGTCTTTCTTATGTAATTGGTCATTCCTGGTGATTAGAAGTGGTTATTGAATGTTTTTGGTGATCTAGACGTATTTGATGAAGAGTGTGCTAATCTCAAATTTAGTGGTTGTGAGTAAATAAAAAATTGTTGACATTTCATAATTTTAGTATTCTAACTAATCCTTGTTCCAGTGCTTACCACCTTTTACTGCAGGGGGACAGTATTTCCTTCCCTGTTGGCACTGCAGAAAACCAGATGTGATTACTTAGAGAGAATCTTTTCCTAACATCAGTAGTTGTAGGTTAGTATCCTCTATCCTAGAAAACCATTTCTACACAAAACGCATTCCCATTTGCTTGTGTAGTGGACATAATGTTTCCCTAAATACTATCACAAGAAACTTAATTGCATCTGCTTGAAATTTATTAGTTACCTGTAGTGTATTGAGCTGTTGATCAGTAGGATGCAGCATAATGTATTCAAACATTTTGTCAACTAATAAACATGAACATCTAACTTTGGCAGTATGTGTGACAGAATCTGCTATTTATGCTTTGAATCAGTATTTTGTATTTCTTGTTTTGTTTTCAGATTAATCTTGGAAGCAACCAGTATCTTTTCTCAGTTGTTGTGGATCCCAGAGAAATGCCATGCTTCTGCCTGAGGCATGATGTTGATGCTCTTCTCTGGCAGCCCCACTCTGACCAACCAGAGAACATGTGGGAACACATTGCAACTTTTAATGCTTTAGGTAGGAAATTAATTTCTATGTCGCATTCCTCTATCTGAGACTCTTCTACCTGAATACTCTTAATATGGCTCCTGTTGATATTTCACTTGATTAAGTTTGAATTGAAAGGTACTATAATTCTGTTGATAGCAGCACGCTAGCTTAATTTTAGAAATATTAGAGCATAAGAAATAAAATATTTATGCCTTGGGAGAAATATAAGCCTTTTCAGACCATATACAGGATGCAAGCACAGTACTGCACAGTAAAAAGAAGAGTTCCTTGGATAAGTGAACTTGAGTTAAAGACTTAAAAGCACAGTCAGCACTTTAACACTCACACAGAAATCATCAGGGGAACAGCTGCAGTTCACTATGACATGTCTAGGTGTGTATATGCTTATGGTAAGATGTTTTAATAAGTGACCTTTAGATTTTTCCTATCTCGTTGTCCCAGGTGACAAGTCTGAAGAATTGGACATGATTGTTCACTGTTTCTTCTGTTATAAGAGTTACGAGCATCAAATGATGCTGGTACATAGTAGGTTCAAAAGAAGCTAAAAGAAATACTTCACATATGCGCATTTAAGCTATGGAACCCTCTGCCGCAAAACGTTGTGGACATGGAAAGTTTTCATTAATTTGGGGGAAAAAAAAAAAAATCATGATGACAGGAAAAATCAATCAATCAAGAGCATGACTGTGCCAGCTCTGGCTCAAGAAGTCCCTGACTGTTCTGAAATTACAGACTGCCAGAAAAGTAGAAAATGTGATTGTGAAGAAACATTAGTTATTGCTGTGTTCTTGCAATGAGGACTAAGAATTTGTTTTTACTCACTGTTGGAAGCAGAATCCTAAAGCTCAGAAGCAAAAAGTACTTTGAAAAACATGGATGCAAGAGTAAGAATTGCCGTATCAGATCAAATAGGATGGTCCACATAGCCCAGTATTGTACCTATCAAGTAAGAAGCAGATAAATCAGTTTTCATGAAAATTAATCTGGTCCAGAATTTACTTCTGCTGTGACAGCTACAATCTTCATGTTCTCTAAGTGTTCTCTAGACCCATTGCTTTAATAATGCCATGAGTGTGATAATTTATTCCCTCCCTCCCCAAATGCATTTGTTGACCACGCCACTCTCAGTCTGGGTCCAAAATGAAAGGGAAGATATGAGCTGTTTTACAGAGCTCACATAGGTTACCATAACACATAATTGGTTTTGTTCTGAGTTTTTGCAATTTATTGAGTTCTGTAATATAAATAATTTTTTTAATAGCCTATTATTTTAACTTGAGATCAAACTAAGCTGTAAGCATCTTAACAAATGCTCTAACAAAAGAGATTAATTTCACAATTTCTTCTTTGTTTACTCATTTCAAATTTCATTATGCTGGGAAACAAGCCGATGATAAGGATTAAGATGTATTTTCAAATTACTATTAGTTTCAAGTTTCTATGCTGACTTTGTAGTACAGTTTTAAGAATGTGTTTCTATTGTTTCGAAAATAACAGGAAGGAAATTATGATATTTTGGAGCTTTTTGTACCTAAGGTGATAAAAACCAACATTGTTCCTCTACTTCTTTCTCCTTACTGTACTATCATTTTACAGTATTATATTGAAGTTTACATTTCTGTACTAATCTAGTTCACCTTTTATGTGCCAGAGGTGATGTTTATCTACAACCAAATTTAGAAGTACTTTGCAAGAGCTAGTAGTAAAAATTAGTATTTTCTAGATTAAACGGCTAGTTTTCCAAAACCTACAGTACTCATTATATTGACCAAAGCAATGGTAGTAGCCCTATTTCCTTCTTCCTCTGCTTGAACTTTTGGAATTAGTTTTTAACAAGCTGTACAAAGATGATGACTGAAAAATTAGTATTTTTCAGTTCAAGTCTTGGACTGAAACCTAAAGAAGGAACCAGAGGGAAACTGAAGGGACCAAGTTTTTTGTTCTATATATCTGTCCTAACAACTTTCTGCTGAAAAAAAGGAGTTGGTCTTGAATAGACCTTTGGCTGCTAATGTCTAATGATTTGCTGCTGGTTGAAGGAGCAGTTGCATGATCTTGCCCATTCTTACCACAGTTTAGTGAAGAAGCCTGTATCTTTCACTGACTACTCATTAGTCTTGCTATATAAATCTCCTGCTCCTAACAGGGTTGTATCTAACAGGGTTGTATCTATAATAGATACATAGAAAAACAGAGAACAGTGACATTTTTTAGATTTGTTTTTTAAAAAAAAAAAAGCCTACGATTTTCTTTCTGAGAAATCCCATTTGAATACAAGTCCCCTGGCTCAAAATCTTCTTTTACCTGCAAGCCTATACTTAAATCCTGCTTTTATTGTTAGTGCCAATGTTTAAATATATGAATTAAATTAATTAACTTACACTTGGAAAGTTCTTGTGGCTGTCCTAATATTTCCCAGTACAGCAATCATGTCAATTGATAGTCTAGCTATATATTTACTAATTGTTTTGTGGTGAAAACTGTCAAGCTGGATTTGAATGGAGATCATGTTTTGAGGACAGTAGCAAGCATTTGTACTTTAGAAGTCTTAGGATTAACATTTTAAAAAACCCAAAACAACCAAAACACCCTCAAGGCATGAAAATGCGCTGTTAAATTGTGATGGTACTGTTGTGGGTTAGCCCTGGTGGACACCTAAGCACCGCACAGCTGCTTGCTGTCTCTTCATTCCTCCTCCTTGCCCCCAGTGGGACAGGGGAGAGAAAAGGAAGAACAAAAGCAAGAGAGCTCGTGGGTTGAGCTCGTGGGTCAGTTTGGGTCAGCTGTCCTGGTTGTGTCCCCTCCCAACTTCTTGTGCATCCCCAACCTACTTGGGGGGCAGAGCTGGAAAGATAGAAAGTTATGACAGTGTGCAAGCACTGCTCAGCAATAGCCAGAAAATCATGTGGTATCAACACTGTTTTAGTCACAAATTCAAAACACAGCACCTTATGGTCTCCTGTGAAGAAAACTAACCCTATCCTAGCCAGCCCCAGTACAGGTACTTTGACTATCCTATGATAATAAGGAAAGAGGGAGAAGCAAAAAAAGTAAACTCTAGCATGCTTGCTGTTCTGAAAGGTTCTGTCTTTCAGTGATAACCGTTGCCATGCATTGTTCAATCGAAGTGAAGCAAATAACGTTTCAGAAAGATGGCAGATCACTTTGCAAAGATTGTGTCTCAAGTCACTTTACAAAAGTGTGAAAGGAAATCAGTCTGAAATAAGTCTGTTTACTAACTGAGTTCTGTAATGGAAGAGGAAAAGGAAGTGAATATTAACCAAGATTACAGTGTGTTGAAAAGTAACTCATGTTTTTGTCAGTCAGTTCTAAATAGAAGACAAGTTTTAAGTGTCTGTTCAAGATTAGGTAGACTCGGAAATCTTAAATTGTAAATGTAACTACAAACTGGGGGATGAGGGGAGAGAGAGGGTTCTTTTGCTTAGACTACTAATATTGGGCCAAGATGTGTATCCATGCCTTATGATCCTGCTGAGAAAATGGAAGACCTTGTGAGGTGGAGAGGGGCTAGATGTGGGAACAGTATCTAGCTATACATATGTGCGCATCAAAAACGCCAGTTAGGAAGATGTACAATATTGGTATTAAATTGGTTAATGCATATCTCCAGAAATTATTGGTTTATTTAATAACAACATATATCTTTTTCTTTCTTTTTTGTTACTAATTGCATATTATTTTTTAAGCTAAGGTTGGTTTTGTCTTAGCCAGTTAGAGTGCTGTTGAAACCAATATATTACTTCTCCCTTCTACTTCTTTTTGGGCTATGCAGGTTATGTCCAAGCATCAAAGCAAGACAAGAAGTTCATGGCTTGTGCTCCAGATTACTCCTACGCTGCTCTTTGTGAGTGCTTGCGACGAGTTTTCATCTATCGTCAGCCGACTCCTCTGTCCACAGTTCTCTACAACAGGAAGGAAGGAAGACAAGTAGGACAGGTTGCTAAGCAGCTCGTAGCAACCCTGGAAGCCAATGATCCTATCTTAGGCTTTCAAGCTACAAGTGAGAGATTATTTGTTCTCACAACAAAAACCTTGTTTTTAATAAAGGTGAACTCTGGAAATTAATTATTTAGTATATTCTGCTGTAGTTTGTGTAACCATTTGTTAAAGAACTGGCTAGGTAAATGATCTGAGAAGTTCAGTACAATTTGTTGAAGTTTAAAAAGGAGATATTTTACAGGGGAATCAATATTTTTCATTATAATTTGTCTGTAAGATAGTGAGACAGTTTTTCAACTTTGCTGTCACTGAAGTAAGCTTTCTCAGAGCTATGGGAAAACGTCTTCTGCGCTAACAGCTTTCTCAAAGCAATCGTCAGAGGCTGCTATTGCATAAGTGAATAGATTTATGCATTGTTTTTTCCAAATGACTGTGTTTGCCATACTTCTGAGTTTTGAGCATTCACTTCTGTTTTTAAATGCCACTGTTTACCTATGAAAGAAGTAGTCAGATAAAGAAAATAAAGCCTTGAGTTACAAGCATATGATGTGCAAAGTAAAGAAGTGTGTATCATAAAGAAAAAAAAATCCCAAATTCAAATACTATTGGCCAAAAAAATGATTTAATTTTTCAATATTCAGTAGTATTGAGTGAAATGTGAATGGAGTGAATGGAGTATTGTGTTTCTTATACAGGTAATTAATTCAAATGGAATAATTTCATTGTATATGCAGATTTTAGATTATTGATTTGGGACTTACTCATGCTTGCAGTGAAACCTGTTCACATTTTAAGAGACACTAGAATAGCTTTTAGTAGCTTTTTCTTGAAGCAAAGTAAGGGTGAATATGTAGCCAGTGATTACATATTGAATGGTATTAGTCAAGGTCTAGTTATACTCTCAGTTGTGTCATTCTCACTTAACATTGTACTTCATCTTGAGTGACTAATTTACAATTAGAAAATGGCTAACAGAAAAAGCACCTGTATTGTAACCTGAGATGGGAAACTCAGAAGTGCTGCTTCTGCCTCAGATATCATTGTAAATACTGTCTTATTGGTTAACCATTCTGTCCGTGATGCACAAGTCCAAATGTGGTATATACAATGTAAGAGTACACAGGGCATGAGGATGCTTCTGTTTAACAAACTGGCATGGTTAATTTTGTTGAAAAGTTTTATCTGAAGATTTTTGTTTCTTGTTTTAAATTGACATTGTCAATACAGTTAAACCAAAAAAGAGTCAGTTGTGACAGTTCCACCCTGGGTTGTTGTTTTTCATGGTTTGCTTACAACTCCATAGCAAAGAATGCCTAATCAGTATATTGTGTACTGCCAGGAAAGCTGCTGTGATCTGTGGTACCAAAGTACTGAGACAGATGCAAATTACTGAGACAGATACAAATACAAGTGGCCTGATAGTTTGCATCTCTTCCAGTATTATTTCAGACCTCTGTAAGAATCTATTGAGAGGAAGATAAGTGTTCCTTTTTTATGGACTAACAGTTTCTTACTTATGATTGTTTTGACTTCCCTGTAAATTCTCCAGACTTGTATTGGTGAAATTATTAAATAGTATACTGAGAATTTAAGAGGGAGACAAGCAGTTGTGGCTTGGAAAAAACCCTCCAAATTCAGTAGCTTTTCAAGGAACCTGATTTTCTTCTTCCTTACAGCAGTATTATATTGTATACCCAATATTGAAAAGTTTTTCCTTACTCTTACCTGGGTAAGTTAAAACAGACTTGATTTGCAAACCTTCCCTTCTCATTCTATTTTTTTTAAAACTGTCTTGAAAATGCTTTTTAAAAAGGCTCAGTGAATGTATTACTGTTCCATGACTGGTTTGCATCTAAATTTTCATTGTTGGGCAATAATATCAAACAAGGTGGTAGAATTCATGCAGAGGTCCTTTAGAAAGGATTTTGTGTAGTTGATTACTTTGCAGCATAAAGTAAGTGCTTTGAGTTTTATATGAATATTACTTAGTAACCTGACATTTAATCACCAGGAACACAGAGTTAAGAACATGTTGTGGTGTTTGGGGAATGGAGGAATGAAGAGGGGGTGAAGGATTCATAGGCAACATGCTTTTGTCACTGCAGGTCTATTGCAGGAAGCTGCAGTATAGATGAGAATTTCAGCTGTTCTTTGTCAATTTCTCCTTGCTGTGGGTTAGACATCTGGAAACATACTTCTGCTGTCTCCTGCAACAGAGGAAAAAAAGTCAAGTAAAATGGTTACATCTTCAGAGGCTGTATTGTAATATGTAATGACTAAAACTCACATTCTGCCCAAATATGTGTCTGTTTCAAGGGAGTTCTTGTTTGCTCCTGGGAAAAACTGAACATGGGGAAGAGGTTCATCCCTTTTTCCATGTTACTCATCTATTTGCAATCATGGTGTTCTCAGAAAGGATACCTCAGATAGTCTCTCTTTTATTTTGCTTTCTATGAGAGTTAAGGATTGTATTATTTTAAAGATTTGTTGCCTTGAGGAACCTTGCATCCTGTTTGCACAGCAAGCTACTATAATTAAATGTCTGCAAGCCACAGGGAGGCGCTTACTATCAGCATTTCCATTTCTGTGTTAATTTAATTTTAAGGCTTATTTGTTTAGCATATTAATGTAGGCTTATACAAAGTATAGAATGTGGATATTTAAAAGAGTTGGTTTTCTGAGAACCATACTTCAATTTTTCTAGGATTTTATTTATTGAAATCTTACATTTTAAGACACAGTACTTCCTGAGAGGTCCCAATCACAATCTGTTTACAGAATTTCTGAGAAAATATTTGGCTATTACAGACTTGCAGTATTTATTTCTGATACTCTTTTTCAGTGTTTTCCTTGGCTGCATATTTGGAATATATCCTGTGTTCTTCTACAAGATTAAATAAATGGAAAAAATGTTAAATTTATTAATAAAGGGGTTTTTAAATTATTTTAAAGGATTTATGTTCATTTCAAATGCGCATCCTTCCTATGCTACTGAAACAAAATAGAAACAAATTCCTTAAAATAAGCCTTGTTATGTTAAGGAGTTTTCTGTTAGGGTAAAGTTCTGATGTGTGTCTGCACTGCAAGGTCACGTCTGTTGCCAAGACGTGCACTATTGCACTCCTTGCTCGTTTCTGTGAAAACCCCTGTACAGTTTTTTTTCATATCTCATATCTGCCAACATAAAAATTTACAGAGGTAGTTACTGGAGGGGATTGATATGTATTCAGGTGTGATCTTGTGTTAAAGTGCACATTGCGTCCCCTGATCCTGTGTCTTTGTTGTGTACAAGATCCAGATGATCTGGACAAACCCTTCTAGATGGAAGGAGGAGAGAGATCTGCACATCCTTCCTCTCCCCCTACCTCAATCCAGGGGTGCTTTTTTGCAGGAGAGTGAAGGAGGAGAGGAAGGATTTTGTCTGTACGTATGTCCTATGTCAAAAAGTGGTTCTTCATTAGTGAAATGGCAGACCCTGTGAGAGTAACAGATAAGGTTGAAGCTTATATTTTATTTCAGTTTGCTGTGCTTTGTTTCAATAATGGACGTTATTACTACTATAACTTTTGAATTTCCTAGCTTTCTGTCAATTTATATTTTCTATTCTCGTTACGCAGATTAGAGTAACTTGAAGCCTGCAGTCAATCACACGTTAGCATGTAATAACAATTTTTACTTGAATTATTGCTGTCTGATTCTGCCAAATAAAATACTTTAGATAGGTTTGGGTTTTTTGGGTTAAACTGTTAATCTTAATATCACCACTTGCTTATGAATTAAATTGCTATAATCACAGTGGCAATCGTCAGCTTCTGATTCTCATTTCAAGGTTTTCCTCATTCTGTGGGAGAATAAAATGTGCATGGTCACCTCTCTGATAATGGAATCAGTGGTCCTAGATTTTTCATGTGTTATTTCATCTTCTTGCTGGGTAGGGCAGATACACATAACTGAATTGAACTAAGAAACTTATTCCCCTTGTCCCAAAAGGAATGTGGTCTTGTATACCCAAATACGAGCTGCTTCAGATACTAAAACTGCTCTCTAGACTAGTAGGATTGCTTTTGCAAACTGCTTCTGCAGTTAGGTTTAGAATTTTGTGCAGCCAGTCCCGTGTGCCATTCATAACAGCTTTCTGGAAATCTGGTGAGATTTGTTTCCCTTCCTCCCCATGCAAGTCATCTGATAAAGATCAGCAAGGTCAAAAGATAACTTAGCTGCAGTCTTTGAGGTAGAAAAAACAAGTATCAACCAAGTCTTGGTCAAGACTATTGCAATAATTTCAAAATCAAGGTTTAGTACTATTTTGCTTGGAGAAGTATCTGCTGGCATAATTTTTTTCCTTTAAAAAAGGTTTAAGCTACTTCTGAAAAATTACTTTCTTTTAACAAAGATGTCTGCCATGGTGTGGTAGCTGGGTATCGATTAAAATGTGAAGATAGATATAATTAACAAGTTCAGATGTAGACCTGGAAAATATTTATCATAATCTTTACTGATCTAATGCTCTAGGCAAAATACCCTTTATAAACAATTCCAGTGTGTTTTTGCAATCAAATTAAATTGGCATTTGCAAGGAATTGTCAAGGACAATGCAAGAAACTCAGATTTTAAAAATTAATCATTTTAGTGTCACTTTTATTATGCTACAATGAATATACATTATCCACTAGCTTTTGTTAATGCATTACTTGTATTCTGAATGTGCAAGGGTTGTGTGTGTATATACATTTGTATTTTCAGCTACACCTATATATGCACACACATGTATGTATTCATACTGCTTTAAAGTATTGGGGAAGATGCGGTGGATTCTGGAGAGGAGAATCATTTGACATTATGGATTCAAAGTAATAGATTCTTCATTAACCTGAAGCTTTTCCAAAAATGTGTTGGCTGTTCATGAGTCTGTTGTGAAGCCAGCAGTCTGACCTTAAGTAGAAATATTTTGCTGTATGCTAAAACGTGGATATACGCTCGGGACTAAGTTCTTGAATGTGAGGAAATCTTGATTATTAATTCAAAGGCTCCTTGGAATGTGTATTATATTTTTGGTTTTCCTTTTCTACTGGTTTTGTGATGAGTTTTCCTGCGCATCAAAATGCAAACACCTGTGAGTCTGGCATAAATGTGTTGTAATGTCATGATAACTGCTTCATAACATCAGTTACGAATCCTGTGGAGTTTTTCCTCTGCTGAGGATTAAGTATATGGTATCTCAGAAACCAAGTGTTGAGCAGATGCCTCAAGTTAGAAGAAATGATGCAGGAGTAATAAGCATTTATTTTTATCAAAACAAGTAGGGTTTAGTGAGCAAAGAAATAAGATCCACTGAATACTAATTCAGTCACTTTATCACTGAAATTGCTGCTGATTGGCCTTTAATGATTTTTCTCTTTGAAGCTCCTCATTCTCCCTGTTCCATGTCTCCCCTCTAATAAATATAGAGTACCTTAAGGTAAATTAAGGTTGAACAATTTGTTGGAATTTCCTGAATAACTGAATT